GTTTTTGTTTTTTTGAGTCGGAGTCTCACTCTGTCACCCAGGCTGGAGTGCAGTGGCATGTTCATGGCCACCACAGCCTCGACTTGCTGGGCTTGGGTGATCCTTCCACTTCAGCCTTCCAAGTAGCTGGAACTACAGGAGTGCACCACCACAGCCAGCTAATGTTTTTGATTTATTGTAGAGATGGGGTCTTGCCCATCTGGATTTATAGGCATGAGCCACCGTGCCTGACTAGCTTCTGTTGTTTAGGGAGAAAGATGTATGTAGTTGATATTAACTTTTTCTAGGAGACTTGGAAGATTTCTTTAACTTTTCAGCCTTTGTCCTGTCTTTTCTTCAGATTTTCCTTCCATCTAAGTATTTTAGATATTGTTCAATGATTTATTAGCAGAATCCTCCTTTATAACTTGCTGCTGTCTCGTTAACTGTTAGTTTCATTGGTCACAAATATGCCATTGAAATGAATTTTCTTTGAACCCAATTGTTGTCTTTTTTGTGGTGGAGGGTTGTAGTGATAGAGTTCTTCATATAAAGCAAAAAAGAAAACATTCTTGTGATAAAACTCATATACTATACACTTTCACCCATTTAAAGTGTACAATTCACCAGGCTCGGTGGCTCACCTGTATTCCTGCGCCTTTGGGAGGCTGAGGTGAGTGGACTTCCTGAGCCCGCAGATTCAAGACCCTCCTGGGCAGCGAGACCTCATCTCTACAATAAATCAAAAAATCAGCCGGGTGTGGTAGCGCATGCCTGTAATTCCGGCTATTCGGAAGGCTGAGATAGAAGGATCACCAGAGCCCAGCAGGTCGAGGCTGCGGTGGCCGGGAGTAGCCACCGCACGCCAGTCTGGGCGACAGAGTGAGACTCCAACTCAAAACAAGCAAACAAACAAACAAATAAAATGTACAATTCAGTAGTTTTTAATTTATTTAGAGTTGTGCAAAATCATTACCAAAATCAGTTTTAGGACATTTTTATCACCTCAGAAGAAAACCTTGTACCTTCTATCATTTCCCTAGTTCTTCCATTCTTCCATGTCAGCCCCTAGCAACCAGTAACCTACTTTCTATTTTTTTTTCCCAAATTCTCCTATCCTGAATTGTTTCTGTAGATAAATCTGCTGCTACTACTTTCTATTTGTATAGATTTTTCTGTTCTGAACATTACCTGTAGATGGAATCATGTAATACTTGATTCTTTGTGACCGAGTTCTTTCTCTTAGATGATGTTATATTCCCTTCCCTCCCCCTCATCTACTTAGAAGGGATTTCCTTAATGTTTTAAGTGTTCATTCATGTTGTGGCATGTGTCTACTTTTTTATGGCAAAATCATATTATGTTTGGCAGCTTGCTTCTTTTTTTTTTTTTTTTTTTTTTGGTTTTAAGATTAAATCATCTTATTTCTAAATTTTGGCTTGTATTCTTGCCAAAAGATATAGACTGAAAACTTTTTCCTTAGAGCTAATTAGCTGCATTTTCTGACATTCTTGTAAGCTGTGATAATAGCTCTGTGGGAAGTCTTACCTTTGTATTTTCTTTTCTTTTCTTTTTTTTGAGTTGGAATCTTACTCTATTGTCCAGTCTGGAGTGCAGTGACACTCTGATAGTGCTGTGCTCAGGTGATCCTTCTGCCTCAGCCTTCCAAGTAGCTGGAACTACAGGCACACACCATCACGTCTGGCTAATTTTTTGATTTATTGTAGAAATGAGGTCTCACTAAGTTGCCCAGGCTGGTCTCGAACCCATGGGCTCAGAAAATCCTCCCGCCTCTGCCTCCCAAAGTGCTGGAATTATAGGTGTGAGCCACCGCCCCAGTCTGCCTTTGCTTTTTTTTTGAGTTGGAGTCTCTGTTGCCCAGGCTGGGAGTGCATTGGCTCGCTCACGGCTACCCCAGCGTCGACCTGCTGGGCTTCAGCAATCCTTCAGTCTCAGTCTTCCAAGTAGCCAGAACTACAGACGCACGTTACCACACCTGGCTAATTTTTGATTTTTTGTAGAGATGAGGTCTTGTCAAATTCTCCGGGCTGGTCTCAAACCCGTGGGCTCAGGCAATCCACTCGCCTTGGCCTCCTCAAGTGCTGGGATTACAGGCCGAGCCCCCAAACCCAACCTATCTTTGCATTTTTAACAGTGTTAAAACAGATATAAGCTGCTTATGTGTTTTACTAGGATTCTTGTACTTTTTAGGGCAGTGTCCTCTGCTCCATCATCTCTGGGGATACAGTAGATTTTCTGTCAAGTTCATGGTTTTTTTTATTGTTGTTTTTTGAGTTGTAGTCTCACTCCATAACCCAGGCTAGAGTGCAGTGGCCTGCTCACAGCCAGCCCAGCATCAACCCTCTGGGTTCAGGCAATCTTTTTGCCTCAGCCTTTCAAGTAGCCGGAACTACAGGCGTGCACTACCATGCCTGGCTAATTTTTTTTTTTTAATTGTAGAGATGAGGTCTTGCAAAGTTGCCCAGGCTGTTTTTGACCCCGTGGGCTTGGGCATCTTTTACCTTGTCCTACCAAAGAGCTGGAATTATAGGCTTGAGCCCCTGCACCTGGGCAAGTTTATGTTTTTTCTTTTTCTTTATTTTGAGTTGGAGTCTCACTCTGTTACTCCATAACCCAGGCTGGAGTGCAGTGGCTGCTCCTGGCCACCGCAGCCTTGATCTGCTGTGCTCCGGTGATTCTTCCACTTCAGCCTTCCAAGTAGCTGGAACTACAGGCATGTGTTACCACGCCCGGCTAATTTTTTGATTTATTGTAGAGATGAGGTCTTGCCAAGTTGCCCAGGCGGGTCTCGAACCCGTGGGCTCAGGCAATCCACTCACCTCAGCCTCCCAAAGTGCTGGGATTACAGGCTGAGCCACCAAGCCCGGCTGATTTTTTTCTTTTTAAACTTTTTATTGCCATGCAATATACCTATGATCAAATTTATTACCTTAACCAATTTTAAATATACGATGTGCAGTTCAGTGGTATTGAGTACATTCATATTGTTGTGCAGCCATCACTACCATTTTTCTTTTTTTTTTTTTTTGAGTTGGAGTCTCACTCCGTCGCCCAGACGAGTGCAGTGGCTGCTCCCGGCCACCTCAGCCTCGACCTGCTGGGCTCCAGCGATCCTTCCGACTCAGCCTTCCGAGTAGTCGAAATTACAGGCATGTGTTACCACGCCCGGCTAATTTTTTGATTTATTGTAGAGACGAGGTCTTGCCAAGTTGCCCAGGCGGGTCTCAAACCCGCGGGTTTAGGCAATCCACTCACCTCAGCCTCCCAAAGCTGAGCCACCTAGCCCGGCCCATTTATCTTTGAAACTTTTTTGTCTTGTAAACCTAAATTATTTTTTCCCCAGTGTCTTGAAAAAAATAATGAAAAACGGAAACTCTTTAAACAGTAATTCCTTTTCTCCTCTCCCCCTAGTTTCTGGCAATGGCAATTTTACTTTCTGCCTCTGAATTTGTCTATTCTGTATATCTCTAGGTGTCTTTTGTGATTGGCTTACTTTAGTAAGCATAATGTTCACAAGGTTCATCCATGTTGTGGCATGTATCAGTATTTGTTCCTTTTTAAGTTTGAATAATATCCCATTGTATATACAGACCACATTTTGCTTATCCTTTCGTCTTTTTCATCATGAATACTTGAATTGATTCTACTGTTTGGTTATTGTGAATAATGCTGCTATGAACATGAGTATACAAATACCTCTTTAAGGCTCTTCTTTTTTTTTTTTTTGAGTTGGATGGTATGTGCCACCACGCCTCGCTAATTTTTATTTATTTATTGTAGAGACAAGGTCTCACCATGTTGCCCAGGCTGGTCTTGAACTCCTGAACTCAGGCAGTCCTCTTGACTTGAGCTCCCAAAGTACTGGGATTACAGGTATGAGCTACCATGCTCAGCCGATGGTATCTTTTTTTTTTTTGGTCCTTGATTTGTAGTCTCACTCTTTTGCCCAGGCTGGAGTACAGTGGTCCACTCATGGCCACTGCAGACTCGACTTGCTGGACTCAGGCAATCCTTCCTCCTCAGCCTTCCAGGTAGCTCGGACTACAGGCGTGCACCGCCACACCTGACTAATTTTTTGATTCATTGTAGAGGTGAGGTCTCGCCAAGTTGTGCAAACTGGTTTTGAACCTCTGGGCTCAGGTAGTCTTCTTACCTCGGCCTCCTAAAGTGCTGGGATTATAGTCATGAACCACCGTACCTGGCCCGATAGTATATTAATACACAAGTTTTTAATTTTCATAAAGTCACTTTGCCTTTTTTTTTTTTTTTTTTTTTATTTGGAGTTTCACTCTGTCATCCAGGCTGGAGTACAGTGGCATGCTCACAGCCACCACAGCCTCAACCTGCTGGGTTCAGGTGATCCTTCCACTTCAGCCTTCCAAGTAGCTGGAACTTCAGGAGTGCTCAGCTAATTTTTTGATTTATTATGGAGATGAGGTCTCACCAGGTTGCCCAGGCTGTTCTGGAACCCCTTGGTTCAGGCAATCCTCTTGTCTGTGCCTCCCAAAATGCTGGGATTACAGGCATGAGCCACTGTGCTTAGCAAAATTTTCTTTTTAAATTTTCTTCTCCTCATGCTTCCTGTCATTGGTTATTGATCAAAGATCTAGTATTAAAAATGATGTTTAGCAGTGCCTTCAGCTTACTTTGCAGTTTTCTTTTTCTTTCTTATGTCGTTTTATATTATTGTCTTATGATGTGATGGTGTTTGTCCTACCTGATTTTTTAAATCGCAGACTGTTTTATAATATAACCTGCCCATGTTAACTGTCAAATACCACAAATACAGGGAGAATTGAATTTTTTTCCCAGCCTTTGAACTCATTAACTGGATAGGTGGTTGTGTCTTCAGAGTACCCTTGATAGGAATGTTAGTGCTATTAGAAGCAGTGGTAATCTTGTTTGGATATTGAATATAGGTTGAAGCTGAAGTGTAATTGTGTAGGACATAAATATTATTTTATACTATAATTGGTTTTTTGCCTTTTTTTTTTTTAAAGGATTTGGACGAGGCAGAGGAAGAGGGACAGGAAGGTTCTCAGCCCAAGATATGGGGTAAGTCACAGCCATCTTATTTTTGGCATTTTTTTCTTCCCTAGTTGTTATTCTAGTTTTCCTTCCATCTTGAACCTAATTTATTCTTCCTTGTGAGTCAGGTTTTTTGTTTTTTTTTTTGAGTTGGAGTCTTACTCTGTCATCTAGGCTGGAGTGCAGTGGCACGCTCATGGCCACTGCATCCTCAACCTGCTGGGCTCAGGTGATCTTTCAACCTCAGCCTTCCAAGTAGCTGGAACTACAGGTGTGCACTGCCACACCCAGCCTATTTTTTTGATTTCTTGTAGAGATGAGGTCTGCCAAGTTGCCCAGGCTGATCTCAAACCCCTGAGCTTAGGCAATCCTCTTACTGTGGTCTCCCAAAGTACTGGGATTACAGGTCTGAGCCACCGCACCAGCCAGGTGTTTTTTATATTTAAAACAAGCTGACTAATAAGTGAAAACAGAATAAATAAATCTTTCTTTTTTTTTCCTAGTTGGAGTCTTACTCAGCCTTCTAAGTAGCTAGAATTACAGGCATGTCCCACCACACCTAGCTAATTTTTTGATTTATAAATGAGGTCTCACCAAGTTGCCCAGGCTGATCTCAAACACATGGGCTCAAGCAATTCTCTCACCTTGGCCTCCCATTGTGCTGGGATTATAGGTATGAGCCACCACACCTGGCCAATAAATCTTTCTATAGGCATTAGAACAGGATTTTTAGCCTTGGCCCTTGACATTTTTGATTGAATAATATTTTATTGAGGTGGTGGAGTGTTTTGTACATCGTAGGATGTTTAGCAGCATTCCTCTTCTCTCCTTACTAGATGGCAGTAACACCTCTTCTGATGTTGTGACAAAGTGCCTACAGACATAGCTAAATATTCCCTGGGAGGGGAGTACATATTCATCCCTACTTGAAAGCCACTGCAGAAGAACTATGTTGAGAAATCCAGCATTTGTCTTCAAATGCTAAGTAAATACAGTGCTTATTCATGTAAAAGTGATAATTTTTTTCTAAATTTTAACAGTGAATGATGAACATACTATAAATAGGTGCTAAAATCGGTAGTTTATCCCTTCCTTCTGGATATTCTTTTACTTTTTGCTTCTTCTAAAACATTAGCTCCCACTGGATTTTTAGAAAAAGCTTTAAAACATATTACAGAAGCCATTTGTAGATGGATTCAAGGAAGGAAGGGAATTGTTCCAGGGAAAGCCCTTTGTCTTTCCATAGCTTCAGGGCAGCTCTACTGGAGTTAGTACCTTCTGGTGGTATTGGATCCTTTTTCAGTTTGAGCTCCCTGTGGGAAAATGAGTGATGAAAACACTGGGAGCAAATGGGCAGGGGCACTTGAAGATAAAAGCCTAACCTGGCCCATTAGCTTTAACTACTGCACACTTGTGAAAATTTTAAAGGTAATATTTGGTAGTAGTATTTATTTTGGCCCATGTTAGACCTCTGAATTATGAGGCTAACTCCAGGCTAGAGTGCAGTCATGCTCACGGCCACTGCATCTTTGACCTGCTGAGCTCAGGCAATCCTTCTGCCTCAATCTTCCAAGTAGCTGGAACTACAGATGCGTGCTACCATGCCTGGCTTATTTTTTAATTTATTGTAGAGATGAGGTCTCACCAAGTTGCCCAGGATGGTCTCTAACCCCTGAGCTCAGGCAGTCCTCTCGTTTTGGTCTCCCAGAGTGCTGTAATTACAGGCTTGAACTACCGTGCCCAGTGACTTATGATGTCTGGTGGGTGTTCAGTTTAGGATTTTAATGAAAAGAGGGTTACTGAAGAACACATTTTCTTAACATACCCAATTTTTCTGTAAAGGAATATACAATTCTGTCATAAAAGGTTCAAAGCTAAACTAGGATTCTGACTTAGGAAGAAAAGACTTGTTTCCTCTTCATGACTTATTTTCAGTGGGACATTCCGTTAGAGCCCTTTTCTGCCTTGAAAGATTCTAGGTCTCCAAGTGTGCTTTCAGATGCAGAAGACAGTGTTTTTAGAAAATAAGGCCATTATAAATAAAAGAGTATATTGTAGGTCCCTAGGCAACTTTTATTTTTCACATCTGTATCCTGGTGGCTGGAAGAATTAGTTATATCTAAAAATGGGAAGGAGAGTGAAGTCTTTTACAGTGACTCTTAGAAGCTACTGGGTTTGTTTGGGGGAAGATAATGTACAGTTAACTTTGGCTTTGGTGTTTGCTTCATTTGCCTTTATTTCTTTATTTCAAACCTCAGGACATTTAATCCTGCAGACTATTCAGATTCTACATCTACAGATGGGTGTGGGACAAAACTCGTAGTTTGGGAAGCTGCTCAGAATGGTACAGATGAGGAAACTGGTAAGTGTTCTTATCTGCCAGAGATGTGTTTTAAATGTTTGAATTATTAAGAGATCTTTGTTCTCATACAAACATAAAGTCTCAATGTGCTGTTGGAGGAAAATGAAAAACAGGCTTTTATCCTACCTCTGAAACTCTTTCTTAGTTGGTTCTTACCTACAAAATCTCTCGCTTGCTAATCTTATTGATGACAAGGAATTTGATTTTCCCTTCTGCAGTCTGAGAAAGAGGCTGTATAAGGTAATCTGCATAAATCAGCACAAACCAGCACTTCAGTCACAGGTTACAGATACATGAAATTTCTTAAAAGGCTTTTTTACTGAAAGTATTTTCCATTCCTACTGGTTGTATTTTGACCAGATAATGTTGTAGATGATAGATTTGCAGGAACATTGCTTCTGTGGCTTTTCTGTATCATGCGGTTTTAGAATTATTTTCTGAAATTCATGGGTGTAAAGATTTGCTTATATATAGAGAGAGAGCTTTTCAGAGGACTTGTGATAATATATGGTCACTAATGAGATTATGTTTATAAAAACATAATTTAACGCAATGAAATATAATCCATAATATATAATAGCTCAATAAATTATCAAAAACCAAACATTTATGTAACAGCAACACTGGCCAAAATATAAGACCACCATCCTAGAATCACAATTAATGAACTAGAAATAGAGGAATTTTAGAGAGGATCAACTAAAGTTATAAGTAATTGTTTGAAAAGACTGGTAAAATTGCTAAACTTCTATGAGACCAATCAACAGAATGTGAAGAAGCATAAATAACTGGTTTTAGGGAAGAGGGAATATTGGTACAGATTATATGGATATTAGAAGATCATAAGATACTGTATGTCAAGCCGGGCTCTGTGGCTCAGCCTGTAATCCCGCGCCTTTGGGAGGCTGAGGTGAGTGGATTGCCTGAGCCCACGGGTTCGAGACCCGTCTGGGCAGCGAGACCTCATCTCTACAGTAAATCAAAAAATCAGCCAGGCGTGGTAGCGCGTGCCTGTAATTCCGGCTACTCGGAAGGCTGAGGTGGAAGGATCGCCGGAGCCCAGCAGGTCGAGGCTGCGGTGGCCGGGAGTGGCCGCTGCACTCCAGTCTGGGGGACTGAGTGAGACTCCAACTCAAAAAAAAAAAAAAAAGATACTGTATGTCATTAAATTTTATGCCAGCAAATTTGAAATTGCAGACTAATTTCATTTATAACTATCTTAAACCAGTGGCTGGGAATGGTGGCTTATACCTTTAATCCCAGCACTTTGGGAACCCAAGTGTAAGGATCACTTGAGACCAGGAGTTTGAGGCTGCGACGAGCCATTATTGTACCATTGCACTCCAGCTTAGAAGACAGAGTGAGACTCTGGCTCAAGAAAAAAAAAAACTCAAACAAAATATTCAAAAATAGAATTCAGTAAGACAGAAAAAGAAATAAGCTGGGCACGGTGGCCGACGCCTGTAATCCCAGCACTTTGGGAGGCTAAGGCAAGAGGATTGCCTGAGCCCATGAGTTCAAGACTGGGCAACTTGGCGAGACGTCATCTCTACAATAAATTCTAAAAATTAGCCGGGTGTGGTAGCGCATACCTGTAGTTCCAGCTACTTAGAAGACTAGGCGGAAGGATCGCCTGAGCCCAACAGGTCTTGGCTGCAGTGGCCTCCAGCCTGGATAACTGAGTGAGCCTAACTAAAAAAAAAAAAAAAAAAAAGTAATACATCATAGCCATGTTAAATATATACTTGATATTCAAGTTTGTTCAGCTTTTTAAAAATCCAGCTGGGTGCCATGGCTTATACCTGTAATTCCAGCACTTTGGGAGGCCAAGGCAAGAGAATCCTTGAAGCCAGGAGTTCAAGACTAGCCTTTTTGAGACCCCATCTCTAAGAAAGGAAAACATAAGAAAAAGAATAAAACTTAAGGAAAAAAAAAGCTCAATTCTTTGATACATACCCAAGAGGATGGAGAAATATAGGTTCACATAAAACCTTGTGCAAAAAAATTTAAAGCAACACAGTTCATAATTATCAAAAGTTAGAAGCACTCAGATATCCATCAATGGGTGAATAGATAAGCAAAATATGTAATATTCATATAACAATAATTTTCTGCCATAAAAAGGAATGAAGGATACATGCTATAACTTGAGTGAACTTTCAAAATTATATGGCAAATTAAAGAAACCAGTCACAAAAGACCACATATTTTGTATTTTATGATTCCGTTTATTCGAAATGTCCAGGTTAGGAAAATTTTTAGAGGTAGAAAATAGATTGGGGGTTGCCTAGGGCTGGAAGAATTTGGAGGAATTGGAGAGTGACTTGTAATGAGTATGGGGTTTCTTTTTAGAGTAATGAAAATGTTCTGAAATTAGATAAGGTTGATGGTTGCAGAAATTGTGAATACACTAAAATTTATTCAATTGTGTATTATAGAAGGATATATTTCATGTTATGCACCATATATGTGAAAAACAAAAATGAGTATTTGTTCACCCAATTAACACAATTAAGAAGATCCATGGTCAGTTGGAGTAGCTCACACCTATAATCCCACACTTTGGGAGGCCAAGGTGAGAGGATTGCCTGAGCCCTTGGGTTTAAGACCAGCCTGGGCAACTTGCTGAGACCTCCTCTCTACAATAGATCAAAAAATTAGCCGGGCGGGGTGGCGGGTGCCTGTAATTCCACCTACTTGGAAGGTTGAGGATTATAGGCATGAACCACTGTGCCTGGCCGTAAAGTTTAGTTTTTAGTTTGTTTGTTTGTTTGTTTTGAATTGGAGTCCGCTCTTGTCTCTCAGGCTGGAGTGCAGTGGCATGCTCATGGCCACCGCAGCTTCAACCTGCTGGGCTCAGGCGATCCTTCCACCTCAGCCTTCCAAGTAGATGGACTACAGATGCACGCCACTATGCTTGGCTAGATTTTGTGATTTATGGTAGAGACGAGGTCTCACCAAGTTGCCCAAGCTGGTCTTGAACCCCCAGGCTCAGGCAGCCCTCTTGCCTAGGCCTCCCAAAGTGCTAGGATTATAGGTATGAGCCACCATGCCCGACCAAAGTTTAGTTTTTACTGACTCAGTCTTTGAATGTATAAATCTGTGGTTGATCATCACTTAAAAACTTTCCCAACCGGGCTTGGTGGCTCAGCCTGTAATCCCAGCACTTTGGGAGGCTGAGGTGAGTGGATTGCCTAAGCCCGCGGGTTCAAGACCCGCCTGAGCAACTTGGCAAGACCTCATCTCTACAATAAATAAAAAATTAGCTGGGCGTGGTAGCGCACACCTGTAATTCCAGCTACCTGAAAGGTTGAGGCGGAAGGATCGCCAGAGCCCAGCAGGTCGAGGCTGCGGTGGCCAGGAGCATGCCAGTGCACTCCAGTCTAGGTGACAGAGTGAGATTCCAACTCAAAAAAACAAAATTTTCCCCACTGATGTCTTTTAAAAAATCAGGTTTAGCCAGGCATGGTGACTCATGCCTGTAATCCCAGCACTTTGGGAAGTAGAGGTGAGAGGATTGCATGAGCCCAGGGGTTCATGACCAGCCTGGGCAACTTGGTGAGCACTCATCTCTACAATAAATAAAAAAAATAGCCAGGCGTGGTGGAGCACACCTGTAGTTCCAGCTACCTGGAAGGCTGAGGCGGAAGGATTACCTAAGCCCAGCAGTTGTGACTGTGCTGGCCATGAGTGGCCATGAGTGTGTCCAGCCTGGGCGACAGAGTGAGACTCTGACTCCAAAATAAAAAAGAAAAGGTTTATTGGTCAGGTGCAGCAGCTCACACACGTAATCCCAGCACTTTGAGAGGTGGTGGCAAGATGATTGCCTGAGCCCAGGGGTTTGATACCATCCTGGGCAACTTGCAAAATCTCATCTCTACAATAAACCAAAAAATTATCCAGGCTTGGGGGCTTAGGTTAGGCAAAGATTTCTTACATAGGATCCAATAAACATGAGTCATAAAAGAAATATTTGATAACGTAGATTGAATCAAATTTTTAAAATTCTGCTCTTCTGAAGAGGAAAATGAAATGAAAGGACAAGTCAAACCCGTATTTGATAAAATTGTATATAAAATGTATAAGGAGCTCTAATAACTCAATAATGAGAAAATTCCCCCCAAAACAAAGGAGCAATTAAAAATGAGCCAAAAATTGAAAATTTCTGACAGTGGATAATGGTGATGATTGCACAACATTGTGAATGTACTTAATGCTATTGAATTGTACACATAAAGAGGGTTAAATGTAAATGTTATGTAATGTCTGTTGTACCACAATTAAAATGGCATAGAATAATATGCACATATTATATACATGTCAGTTTTCTGGCTTTTTAAATTATTTTTTTATTTTTGAGTTGGAGTCTCACTCTGCTGCCCAGGCTGGAGTGCAGTGCATGACCATTGCAGCCTCAGGCCACTAAACTCAGGCAGTCCTTCTGCCTCAGCCTTCCAAGTAGCTGGAGCTACAGGTACATACCACCACGCTGAGCTAATTTTTTGTTTAATTGTAGAGACAAGGTCTCGCTAAGGTGTACAGACTGGTCTTGAACCCCTGGGCTCAGGCAGTCCTCTCACCTCTCCCTCCCAAAGTGCTGGAATTATAGGTGTGAGTTACCGTGCCTGGCTAGTTTTCTGGCTTTTACATTGTTTTGTAATTATATGAGATGTAATCATAAGGACAACGGAGTGAAGGGTAATTCCCTGTGAATCTATACTTACTTCAACATTAAAAAGTTAATAAAAGCTGGGCTCGGTGGCACAGCCTGTAATCCCGCGCTTTGGGAGGCTGAGGTGAGTGGATTGCCTGAGCCTGTGGGTTCGAGACCCGCCTGGGCAACTTGGTGAGACTTCATCTCTACAATAAATCAAAAATTAGCCGGGTGTGGTAGCGTGCGCCTGTAGTTCCAGCTACTTGGAAGGCTGAGGCGGAAAGATCGCCGGAGCCCAGCAGGTCGAGGCTGTGGTGGCTGGGAGCGGCCACTGCACTCCAGTCTGGGCGACAGAGTGAGACTCCAACTCAAAAAAAAAAAAAAAGTTAATAAAAATTGAGCAATAGATTTGAACAGATGCTTTACAAAAGAAGATATATAAATGGGAGTTAAGTCCACAAAAATATTCTCTTCATTGGTCATTAGAGAAATAAAAGTTAGAGCCACAGTAAGATAACACTGTTCATCTATTAAAATGGCTTTAAGAGAAACTGAAAATACCAAGTACTGGTAAGGATTGTGGAACTCACATTCCTGGTGGGAAGCAGATTTTTACCATACAGTCTGAAAATCCCACTTCTGCATTTTTATATAAGTGGAAAGAAAACACATCCAAACAAAAAATCTGTGTATGTTGTTTATAGTGGCTTTATTTATAACCTCCGTTGATTTTCTTTCCTTTTTTTTTTTAAGAGTTGATGTCCTGATTTCTTGCCCAGGCTGGAATGCAGTGGCTGTCACGGGCATAGTCATAGTGTACTATAACCTCAAACTCCTGGACTCAAGTGCTGAATAGTCTCCTGGATAACTGGGACAGTAGGCGCTTACCTCTGCACCTGGCTTCCACTGTTTTTGTTTTTGTTTTTAACAGTGTCAAAGAAGAATGTTGAATTAGTCAATTATCTACAATTCTTTTTTTCTTTTTTGAGTTGGCGTCTCACTCTGTCACCCAGGCTGGAAGGCAGTGGCATACTCCTGGCCACTGCAGCCTCGACCTGCTGGGCTTAGTTGATCCTTCCACCTCAGCCTTCCAAGTAGCTGGAACTACAGACATGCACCACCATGCCCGGCTAATTTTTTGATTTATTATAGAAATGAGGTCTTGCCAAGTTGCCCAGGCTGGTCTCCAACCTGCGGGATCAGGCAATCCTCTGACCTTGGCCTCCCAAAGTGCTGGGATTATAGGTGTGAGCCAACACGCCTGGCCTTATTCTTTTTTTCTTATTCCCTCTCTTCTTTTCCCCCGTCTCCCTTTCATGTATTTCCTCCCACTTCTCCTTATTCTCATTTAAAGAAGCAGGTTTCTTGGTGAAAAAGATTTAAGGCCAGGCATGGTGGCTCATGCCTAGAATCCCAGCACTTTGGGAGGTCGAGGTGAGATGATTGCCTGAGCTCATGGGTTTGAGAACAGCCTGGGCAACTTGGCGAGATCTCATGTCTACAATAAATCAAAAAAATAGCTGGGTGTGGTGTCACGTACCTATAGTTCCAGCTATTTGGAAGCCTGAGGCAGAAGGATCACCCGAGCCCAGCAGGTTGAAGCTGTGATGGCCGTGAGCTTGCCATGGCAATCTAACCTGGGTGACAGAGTAAGACCTCAACTAAAAAAAAAAAATTTAGATAAGCAAAATGGGTTTGTTGTGAATATAGTTAAAGGGTGTAAGAGTGGCATTGTTAATTGTAATGTTGTCTTGTTGATAAAAGAGTTCTGAGTTCAGTGCTCAGTTTTATATACTCAGAAGCTTGACTTTTTGACAATATAATCATCACAGATCATTTCTAATGTGAAGAAAACTCACATTAACCAAACTAGAAAGACTGACTTATGCTAATTTATTAATTTGCTAAAAACGAATTCCTGTCAAACAGATTGGAATGCTCTCTTTGACAAATGGGAAGTGAGCTTGGTAAACATGAGAATGAGGATACAGTAAGTCCCCTATATGTGAACATGCATTTTCATGTCCAATCACATAAATTAGTTCATATGTCTCATATACACTGTCATGTGTGCAAGGTGTAACACACTGTAAGATTTAAAAGTTTCCTTTTTTTAAAAAAATGTATTATTTGTGTGAAAAGTATTATAAACCTATTGCACTACAGTATTGTATAGCCGATTGTGATAGTTGGGTACCTAGGTAACTTTGTTGGACTTAACAATTGGATTTACGAATGTGCTCTTGGAATAAAACTCGTTGATATGTAGAGGACTTAACTACAGTTGATATAATTTGAGCCATCTGGATAAAATTTATAGCTGGAGTCACAGTGGCCTGTTATAGTATGGATTTCAATAAGTTTCCCTTTCTTGACAGTAATGCAGCATATACATAGCTTTGACACTGAATAATTTCTCTTGTGATAAATATTTTTATTGTCTTGATATGTTAAAACCTTCCGTTTTACATTGATCTGCAGAACTAGTACCAAATGCTCACAGCATAGCTCAGCATCTGCCAAGCAAAAATTCTTACGGATTCAAAGGTATGAATGTTTTATTTTAAAATTTTACTTGGTTAAGAATCTTACAAAATGCTTATCGTATCTTCTATTTTTATTAAGGCTAGCTAATAAAAATTCATCAGATGAATATTTGTAAACTATAGAAAACTATAGATAGCTGATAATCACATTTTCAGGTTTTGCTAATGGAAATGTTTTATTGATTGACTTTCAAGTTGCCACAGAATTTTCATCATGTTTTTCTTTCTCTTAAGTGGCTGCCTTTTACATACTTTCATTAGAGGAGTAACACTGAGTTAAATTGTTTAGTTTGTTTTGCTTTTTAAAAGACTGGGTTTGAGACCAGCCTGGGCGACTTGGCGAGACCTCATCTCAACAATAAATCAAAAAATTAGCCTGGCATGGTGGCATGTACCTGTAGTTCCAGCTGCTTGAAAGGCTGATGCAGAAGGATCACCTGAGCCCAGCAGGTTGAGACTGTGGTGGCTGTGAGTATGCCACTGCACTCCAGCCTGGGCAACAGAGTGAGATTCCAACATTTGAAAAAAAAAAAAAAAAAGGAAGTTTGTTTTTGCCTGTTACCACTAACTCTGCACATAATGGCTGAAATGCTAAAATTTATGTTATGTGTATTTTACCACAATTTTAAAAATTAGAAAAAAAATGTTTTTTAAACTTTGGAAAATCATTTAAATATTTTATATGTAAATTTTTGTAATGCCTTATCATTATTTTTCTTCCAGAAATAATTCCCTTTTTATATCCCTGTCTTTTTCTAGACTTCAAGGTTTTTGGTATGGTTCAACTTCCCTATGAAGTTTTTACTTAAAATCTCTAGCTTTTGTTAACTTCTTCATCTTCCAGATTTCCAATGTATTACTCAACTTCATGTAATGAAGTCATGTAATTATTTAATTACATGCAAAAATTTTAATTATCTTTCCAGTGGTACTTAGTGTCATGCTTAATGTCTCTGTAGTCTTTAGAGCCTGTATGGTTAGTTGATGACTGATAGATTCCCAAGGAAAATCCCACCATAAATTGTTCCCTGTTATAATCTCAAGGATGAAAGTTTTAGGAATGCTACTTGAGGCTTTGAAATTGTTTTCTATTTCTCTGTTAGAGTGCTCTCAAAATTGCTTAGATTGAGCATTAGCTTAGGAGTAGAAGTAATCAATCTGTAAATTGGAGTACTGCTTCCTAGAGCATGAGCACAGGGTAGGGCGAATGGGGTGGCAGCAAGGCATTGCACTGGTTATCTTTGACATGAGTCTAGTTGGGAGCTTTGAAAATTATGCATAGAGAAAGTATGCTTAGAGAAAAGTCTGGACGGAAATATATTAAGTTGATTGGAGATTATGTATTAGTACTTAAATAAGAATGATAAGTGAAATGAAGGTAGATGGCATGCTGTAGATTTATTTAGTTTTGTGTGCAAAACTGTGTTTTCTTCCTCCCTCCCTTCCTTCTCTCCCCCCTCTCTTCCCTTCCCCCTCCCTCCCTTCCCTCCCCACTTCCTTCCCTTCCTTCTCCCCCTTTCCTCCCCTTACTCTACTTTCTCCCTTCTTTCCCGGTCATTCTTTCTTGTCAGGGATCAGGACCTCTGCCACCCAAGCTAGAGTGCAGGGGCATGATCACAGCTTACCATAGCCTCGACCTACTGGGCTCAGGCAGTCCTTCCACCTCAGCCTCCCCAGTGGCTGGGACTGTTCGTGTGTGCCACTATGCCTGGCCAAGTTTATTTTTGTTCTTTTTTGAAGAGACGAGGTCTCACGATGTTGCCCACGCTGGTCTCAAAATTCTGTGCTCAAGCAGTCCTGCCTGGGCCTCCCAAAGTGTTGGGATTACTAGCATGTGCCACTGTGCCCAGGACTCTTTTTTTTTTTTTCCTTGAGACAGAGTCTTGCTTTATCACTCAGGCTAGATTGTAGTTCATAGTTCACTGAAACCTTGAACTCCAGGACTCAAGTGATCCTTCTGCCTCAGCCTTTTGAGTAACTAGTTGCACAGTGGCATATCTACCTAATTAAAAACAATTTTTTTTTTCTTTTGAGAGTTGCAGGAGTCCAGCTCTTGCCGGGTTCAGGGTACCCCAAAGGTGGAGATGGCATAGGCGTTTGGGGGCAAGAAAAAAGAGGGAAAGAGAGAGAGAGAAAGAGAGAGAAGGAGGCTGGACCCCTGTCTAGTACAGAAGCCCAAAAAACAAAATTTTTTTTTTTGAATTGAAGTCTCACTGTCACTCAGGCTGGAGTGCAGTGGCACGCTCATGGCCACCGCAGCCTTGACCTGCTGGACTCAGGCGATCCTTCCGCTTCAGCCTTCCAGGTAGCTGGAACTACAGGCATGCGCCACCACACCCGGCTAATTTTTTTGATGTATCAGAGACGAAGTCCTACCAAGTTGCCCAGCCTGGTCTTTTTCCCCTAGGCTCTGGCGATCCTCTCACCTTGACCTCCCAAAGTACTGAGATTACAGGTGTGAGCCACCATGCCTGGACTTTTTTTTTTTTTGAGTTGAGTCTCACTCTATCACCCAGACTGGAGTACAGTGGCTGCCCCCTCGACCTGCTGGGCTCCGGTGGTCCTTCCGCCTCAGCCTTCCAAGTAGCTGGAACTATAGATGTATGCTACCATACCCAGCTAACTTTTTTTTTTTTAAATTGTAGAGACAAGTTCTCGCCAAGTTGTCCAGGCTGGTCTGGAACCTGTGGGCTCAGATAATCCTCTCACCTCTGCCTCCCAAAATGCTGGGATTATAGGCATGAGCCACCACGCCCAGCCCATTAAAGTACCTTAATGTTTTTTAGATAACTATTCTGTCAGAACTTTTTGAGCACATCCTCTGTACTAACTCCTCAGAATTTAAGGTAGCAGACTTGATACAGGCAGGAGTAATGTTAAACTGTGCTAGAGACTTATTAGGAAACCATGTAGTAGGCCTAATATTTTATAAAAAGGATCCTGCTCCATATCTGACAATTCAACAATCCACCTAAAATAGGATCCAAGGTAGATTTGCCTTAAATGAAATTGGTTTGTTTTTAATAATAATAGATCATAAGAAATTAACCCATTGTACCATGTCTGTATTTGTGCTGAGTCCATACTTTCCTACTTATGGCAGAATTTCTTAAATTGCTCAATCTGAGACATTGATTTGAGCTTATGTAGATAGTACTGGCTGAGTTATATTTGAAAACATTACTTCAAAAGTAAAAGGGAGAAGCTAAAAAAAATTATTGATTTTATTGAGGATAGATTAAGAATCTCATATATCTTAGATTTTAAACTAAGTTGCTAATGAAGTACATTTTTTTTTTTTCTTGCATAGTACACAAAAAAGAATCATTTGTTTTCAAACCATATTGACTTTTTGAGATACAAACGTTGATTTCTGTCATTTCCCACCAGGGGCCTGGAAGAACTCTGTGGAAGAGTGGCCAACAGAAGACTGGTCTGAAGATGTAAGTGTTTAGCATCAGACCCCTCTTTGTTTTTGTGTCTGGTAGGGGCTTCTGTGCTTAGCAGAGAGCCCGAGACATTAAATCTCATCTGGGTTCTTTTTCTGGCATCTACTCTAACCAGTTTCTGAGTTGTCCTTTTCAGCAGATACTTCTCAGAAGGAAGTTAATATTTTCAGATTTCTAAGGAACTTGGTTTTAAAGTGTTTGCTTAAAAAATAATAGGTGTTCAGTAGGACCCCCCCCTTAAAAAGAATTTTTTTTAAGCTTATCTTTGTTTTGTTTGACCTGATAGCCAACTGACTCTTGTTATTCTGACTTGTAAACTATTTCTACTCTTTAGAATACTTTCATTAAAGGAGAGTCTGAGTTTTAGGCCACAGTTGAAATTAACCTGAATTAATTATTCTGGTTGCATGCCCAAGCTCACTCTTTTTTGACTACAAGAATTTCTTCTTAAAAATATCCATTTAGGTAGGGTGCGGTGGCTCACACCTATAATCCCAGCACTTTGAGAGGCCGAGGTGTGAGGATTGGCTGAACCCAGGGGTTTGAGACCAGCATGGACAACTTGGCAAGACTTCATCTCTACAATAAATCAAAAAATTAGCCAGGTATAGTGGCGCATACCTGTAGTCCCAGCTACTTGGAAGGTTGAGGTGGAAATGGATCGCCTAAGCTCAGCAGGTAGAGGCTGCAGTGGCTGTGAGTGTGCCACTGCACTCCAGCCTGGGTGACAGAGTGAGACTCCAACTCAAAAAAAAAAAAAATCCATTTATTTCACAGACATCTTTGAGTATGCTATACTAACTTCCGGGTAGTATCCATTTGTAATCCTGGTTTCAGCATATTTTTTGAGAAAAAAATAACTCAACTTAAATAATAAAAGGAAAAAAGGGGATAACTAGTCCAATACCATATCGAATACCATTTTTCTGTTTGAACATCAAGTTCTCAAGGTAATTTAAAAACCTATTGGAAGGGATAGAATAAAGCAGTTATAAGTGCGGATCTTCAAAATTACATATAATAGTCTAGACTTTGAGATTTATTATCTTATTCTCATAATATGTGTTTGCATTTATGCTAACAGGAGCTGCTTGGTATGGGAAACAAGGAATACGATTTCTGCTTGACCTATTTCTTGACCTTAGGCAAGGGACTGCTCCTAGAGTCTTTGGTTTTTTTCTTTGTGAAAAAGGTGTGGGTACTTCACATACAGTATTGTTTGACTTTCGAGTGGTGTTTGACCAACACTGTAACAAAGATTCATTTTTATCGTAAAACTTAGGTACTTTTTTTCTTTTTTTTAAATTGGGGTCTTGCTCTGTTGTCCAGGTTGGAGTGCAGTGGCACAATCACGGCTCACTGCACCCTTGACCTTTTGATATTAGGCGATCCTTCCTCAGCCTCCTTAATAGCTGGGACTGCAAGGCATGCGCCGCCATGACCAGCCAATGTTTTGTATATTTTTTTGTAGAGATGATGTCTTACTATATTGCTTAGGCTGATCTTGAATTCCTGAGCTCATCAGTCCTCCTGCGTCAGCCCCCACAAAGTGCTGTGATTGCAGGTGTGAGCTATTGCATCTGGCCCCTAGGTACTTTTAACATATGTAACTCAAATATTTTTTTTTTGAATAGGAGTCTCTGTCACCCAGGCTAGAGGGCAGTGGCATGCTCACAGGCATGCAGCCTCGACCTTCTGGGTTGAGGCAATCCTTCCACTTCAGCCTTCCAAGTAGCTGAAACTACAGGCACATGTCACCATGCCCGGCTATTTTTAAAATTTATTGTAGAGATGGGGGTCTCACCAAGTTGCCTGGGCTGGTCTTGAACCTGTGGGCTCAGGCAATCCTCTCACCTTAGCCTCCCAAAGTGCTGGGATTATAGGTGTGAGCCACCATGCCTGGCCAACTAAAGTTTTTTTTTTTCTTTTTCTTTTTCCTTTTTTTTTGAGTTGGAGTCTCACTCTGTCACCCAGACTGGAGTGCAGTGGCACGCTCCCAACCACCACAGCCTCGACTCACTGGGCTCCGGCGATCCTTCCGCCTCAGCCTTCCAAGTAGCTGGAACTACAGGCGTGCGCTACCACGCCTGGCTAATTTTTTGATTTATTGTAGAGATGAGGTCTTGCCAAGTTGCCCAGGTGGGTCTCGAACCCCGCGGGCTTAGGCAACCCACTCACCTCAGCCTCCCAAAGCACGGGATTACAGGCTGAGCCACTGGTACTGACTCAAGTATTTTCTAAAAACTTTACACTTATGCTTACTTTCTTTTTCAGCAATATCAAATCTGGCTTTTTCGGGATAGATCTGGATAGGATGAGAGTAGATAATCTCATTTAATTGGGATTTAGGGTATATTTTCACTGGTGCCACTTACTAAGTATAAGTCCCTGTAGTATGTTGCCATCTGACTCTCTGGCTATCTCTGGCTGTGATTTTGCTACCTATAATGTGAGGCACTGAACTTGATAAATGGTTACTTAAATCAATGGGCACCAGTGTTAAGGGGAAGTCACTGTGGGCAGCTTGTGGACACTTTGTCTTATTTCAGAGTCATTCTACTTTTAAATGTTTTGTATTGTTAGACTTTTTGCTAAGATTTTATGGCGGGATGTATTTGAGGGGAGGCTCCAGGATTAAAAGCTTTATATCTCTTTGCCTGCCAGAAGCAGCAGGCACATTAGAAAATCAGCAGGTAACTGGGCATGTGTGACTCATGCTTATAATCCCAGGACTTTGGGAGGCTGAGGTGAGAGCATTGTCTTAGCCCATGGGTTCAAGACCAGCCTGGGCAACTTGATGAGACCTCATCTCTACAATAAATAAAAAATTAGCCGGGTGTGGTGGTGTGAACCTGTAGTCCCAGCTACTTGGAAGGGTGAGGCGGAAGGATCACCTGAGCCCAGCAGGTCGAGACAGCGGTGGCCATGAGTGTGCCACTATTCTTCAGCCTGGACGGCAGAGTGAGGCTCTGACTCAAAAAAAAAAATCAGCAAGAAATTAGAAGGCAAAATTTTACTCAAATTCTAGCTGTTGACCTTGAGCAAGACATTTTTCTATTATGAACTGCCTACTTTTTATCTATATGATGAATATTATAGAAGCTGTTCTGCCTAACTTACAGGGTTTCTCTGTGGGTCAGATGAGGTCTTTTTTTATTTTTTATTTTTGAGTCAGCATCTCACTCTGTTGTCCAGGCTTTAGTACAGTGGCACTCTCACCGCCACCACAACCTTGACTTGCTAGGCTCAGGTGTTCCTTCCACCTCAGCCTTCCAAGTAGGTAGAACTACAGGCACGTGCCACCATGCCCAGCTTATTTTTGATTTATTGTAGAGGACGTCTCACCAAGTTGCCCAGGCTGGTCCTGAAACCCTGGGCCCAGGCAATCCTCTTGCCTCAGCCACCAATATTGTTGGGATTTCAGACATGAGCTACCACATCCAGCAGATGAAGTTGTATGACGAAAGTCTGGTAACAAACAATACACATGTACGTAGAGACATTAACTTTCTGCTGGATCAAAATATATAATTCCTGGCTGGGCTTGGTGGCTCACACCTGTAATCCAGCAATTTGGGAGACTGAGGCAGTGGGAATGCTTGGGGCCAGGAGTTTGAGACCATTTTGGCAATGTAGCAAGAACCCATCTCTACAAAAAATTTTTTAAAAATTAGCTGGATGTGGTGGCATATAACTGCAGTTCTAGCTTCTTGGGAGACTGAGACCCAGAGGATCACTGGAGCCCAGAAGTTTGAGGCTGCAGTGAACTATGACCTCACTACTACATTTCAGCCTGGGAAACAGGTAGACCTTATTTCTGTATGGATAGGGAATTTGGGCATCTTTTCTTTGGAATTATTAGAGAACTTTAAAATTATTCTGAAGTACAAAGTAATGCTAATTGGTAAGGGAATAATCTAAAATGCAAATTCTGCATTCCTTCTAGACCTTAGAACAATAGCTATTTACCTACCCCCAGTTTTTTTTTTTTTTTGAGTTGAAGTCACCCAGGCTGGAATGCAGTGGCACACTCTTGCCCTCTGTAGCCTTGACCTGCTGAGCTCAGGTGATCCTTCCACCTCAGCCTTCCAAGTAGCTGGAACTACAGACATGCGCCACCACATCTGGCTAATTTTTTGATTTATTGTAGAGATGAGGTCATGCCACGTTGCCCAGGCTGGTCTCAAACCTGTGAACCTGTGGGCTCAGGCATTCCTCTCACCTGGACCTCCCAAAGTGCTAGGATTATACACGTGAGTCACCGCGCCTGGCTTATCTCCCCAGCTTTTTAAAGGAGACATGCGATCTTCCTCTTTCACCCAAGCTTTAGTGCAGTTGCATGATCATAGTTCACTGCAACTTTGGACTCCTGGATTCAAGTGATCCTCCTGCCTCAGCCTCCTTAGTATCTGGGACAAAGGTGCACACCACCAGTCTTGCTTTGTTGTCCAGGTCAGTCTCTAGCTCCTGGTCTCTAGCAATCCTTCCACCTCAGCCTCCTGAGTAGTTGGGATTACAGGCAAAAACCACAGCATCTACTTCTTCCTTTGTAAAAAGAAGGAAAGAAGGAAAGAAGAAAGAAAGGAAACCATTTAACATTCTATTATTTTACCAGGTTTAGATATGATGTCAGTGATTATAGTAGTTCTCATTCACCTCAAACTCCTTACGTATAAGGCTTTAGATTTGCTCTATCATTACTTCTCCCTTTTCTTTTTTTTTTTTTTTCACTCTGTCACCCAGAGTGGCCGCTTCCAGCCACTGCAGCCTCGACCCACTGGGCTCAGGCGATCCTTCCACCTCAGCCTTCCAAGTAGCTGGAATTATAGGCGCACACTACCATACCCGGCTGACTTTTTTATTTATTGTAAGAGATGAGGTCTCGCCAAGTTGCCCAGGCGGGTCTCGAACCTGCGGGCTCAGGCAATCCACTCACCTCAGCCTCCCAAGGCGCGGGATTACAGACTGAGCCACTGAGCCCGGCTTATATGTTTCTTTAAGGCAAAAATGAATTCATTGGGACTCTTTAGATACACCTTGGAACAGGATGCAACACAAGCCCTTGAGGAATCAGGAATACATTTAGCACTTTATGTTATTAAAGAAAATGAACACCTATTATCTGTTCTACATTTTTTTACATATTACTGTCTCAGGCAGGAAATCTGATTTTTTTTTTTTTTTTTGAGGAGGTCAGAGGCTCACTGTGTCGCCCAGGCTGGAGTGAGTGGCATGCTCATAGTCACCACAGCCTCAACCTGCCGGGCTCAAGCAATCCTTCTGCCTCAGCTTTCCAAGTTGCTGGAACCACAGGCATGTGCCCCCACGCCTGACTGATTTTTTAATTTATTGTCGAGACGAGGTTTTGCCAAGTTGCCCTGGTTACTCCCGTGGTCTCAGGCCATCCTCTCACCTTGGCCTCCCAAAGTGCTGGGATTATAGGCATGAGCCACAGCACCTGGGCTTTTTAAAAAAATTGTGAATATGAGTTCTCACCAAGTTGCCCGGACTGGTCTCAGGTATTCCTCTCACCTTGGCCTCCTAAAGTGCTGGGGTTATAGGCATGAGCCACTGCGCCCAGCCAGGAAGTATGATTTTATATAGTGCTTCAGAGTTCTGAGACATTTAACATTGATAAGAATGATGGGAACCTTTAAGCAGCATGTTTATTAGTTTTCCATATTACCTCATAGATAAACATTTTTTAACCTTTTGAAGTCCATTCCCCACATTGACAATATGAAAACAACACATATTTTTAATTAATGTCAATTGAGATTTCAAAAAGTCTTCCCTGAGTGCCCTAAAAGTGAGTTAAAACAATATGCACGAATCTCAAAACAATTAAGCTGAGTATAAGAGGCCAGGCATAAAAGAGTGCATACTTTATTTCATTTGAACTTCTAAAAAGTGCAACCTAATTGTTAGTAACAGAATGCATGCCAGTGGTTGCCTGGGGATATAGGCAAGTGGTGAGAGTGAGTGATGACACAGGGATAGGAAGAAGTTGGGGGAGTAAAGAATATATCCATTATCCTAAAATTGTGGTGATGGCTTCACAGGAGCATACATATGCCGAACTTATCCACTTATTCAGTTTGAATATTTGCAGTTTACTGGATGTGTTGTACCTCAATAAAATTACTTTCTTAAAAATAAAAGCTGGGCTCGGTGGCTCAGCCTGTAATCCTGCGCCTTTGGGAGGCTGAGGTGAGTAGATTGCCTGAGGCTGTGGGTTCGAGACCCGCCTGGGCAGGTGAGACCCCATCTCTACAATAAATCAAAAAAATTAGCTGGGCGTGGTACGCCTGTAGTTCCAGCTACTTGGAAGGCTGAGGTGGAAGGATCGCTGGAGCCCAGGAGGTCGAGGCTGCAGTGGCCGGGAGCAGCCACTGCACTCCAGTCTGGACGACGGTGAGGCTCCAACTCAAAAAATAAAGAAAAATAAAATAAAATAAAATAAAAAATAAAAGATACTGTGGCTTAATAAAAATGAAATGTAAACTACCAATCAGTGAAATACAAAAGACATCAACTATTTAACGTTTTCAAACTTATCGACTTCCTTTTAGCACGTCTGATAGGTAACACTGGTGGTGAGTTTGTTGGGTTTTTTTAAAGTTTTCAAGCAAAGTTTATTTTGAAAGTAAATAAAAGCCAGACTCAGTGGCTCAGCCTGTAATCCCAGCGCTTTGGGAGGCTGAGGTGAGTGGATTGCCTGAGCTCGCGGGTTTGAGACCCGCCTGGGCAACATGGCGAGACCTCATCTTACAATAAATAAAAAAAAATTAGCGGGGCGTGGTAGCGTGAGCCTGTAGTTTCAGCTACTTGGCAGGCTGAGGCGGAAGGATCGCCGGAGCCCAGTAGATCGAGGCTGCGGTGACTGGGAGCGGCCACTGCACTCTAGTCTGGGTGACAGAGTGAGACTCTGACTCAAAAAAAAGAAAGAAAGTAAATAAGAGAGAGAGAGTAAGAGAGTGAGAGAGAGAAGACTCACCTCCCCAAGGTAGTGGAGGGGGCCAAAGCTAGGAAACATGGCTGCCACCTGAGTTTAACAAAGCGATGGCAGATGGCAGTTGCTGTTTGAAGTCGAATGCCTTTTAAACCTTCCCTTTGATGGAGACAGGTCGTTAAAGTGATTGGGTGTTAGTCTTTTTTGGTTGGTATTCTTATTGTGCGTAGTAACAAAAAGAGTAGTGAGACTGGGACTTGAACCCTGGTCTGGCTTTATTTCACTGTGTTGTTTTCCATTATCCTAATCATTTCCCTGATGTGAAATCATTTTGGTAGGATTAGCAATCTAAAATTACCTTAACCTGAAGAAAATTACTTGTCATGGTTAATTGCATATTTCATTTTCATTAGAACACCTTTTAGGTGAAATATAAGAGAGTACTGATAACTAAATTTTTTTTTTTTTTTTTTTTTTGATTTGGAGTCTCACTCTGTCACCCAGACTGGAGTGCAGTGGCCACTCTCGGCCACTGCAGCCTCGACCTGCTGGGCTCCGGTGATCCTTCCGCCTCGGCCTTCAAGTAGCTGGAACTACAGGCGTGCACTACCATGCCTGGCTAATTTTTTTAAAAATTCATTTATTATAGAGATGAGGTCTTGCCAAGTTGCCCAGGCGGGTCTCAAACCCATGGGCTCAGGCAATTCACTCACCTCGGCCTCCCAAAGCACGGGATTACAGGCTGAGCCACCTAGCCTGGCCTGTTAACTAAATATTATAAGGAATTCAGTGTTTTGGGTTTTATATTATTTAGAACAAGATTAAATTTTCAAACTTTCCATACAGCTTTCTGAAACAAAGGTCTTCACTGCCTCATCTGCTCCATCAGAGAATCATGTCACACCTGGTCAAAGGTAAACACTTGTTGTCATCTTATATTTGTTATTCAGTTATTCAAAGCATAATTGAAATCATTTGCCTAAGGAAACGTGTTTTATTTTTGGTTCTCTATTTTTTCTCTTTTTATCTAATCCTAACCTTTATTTTGCCCCAATTGGTGAGCTGACCAGCGCTTCAATTATTGCCTAATTCATTGATCAATTAGAATAGTAATTTTTCTGTGTGTGATTTCTTAGTATTTGTGGCAGAGATGATATTAAACCCATGTAATGGTTGTTCTTTTATTTTTGTAGACTTACTGCTTTTTTGAGAGAATGAATTTAACATATTGTAGCCTTTTGTTTCTTCATATAATACCATTTACTTAGATCTTCTCAAGCCAATACGAGCTTGAACTCTACTATTTTAATCCGCTACATTACAGAAAAGATGGGGTTTTGAAGGTAATAGCAACATCTTAAAAACTTCAACTTAAAAATAATTAAATAAATCAAGGGTGATTATATTACATATGACCCATCACAAAAGTTGCACTACTATTACCAATAAACAGAGCAAGTTCTATTCCAAAAGATAAGACACACACATGAAAAAGAATACTACAAGCCGAGCTTGGTGACTCAGCCTGTAATCCCGCGCCTTTGGGAGGCTGAGGTGAGTGAATTGCCTGAGCCCGTGGGTTCGAGACCCACCTGGGCAGCAAGACCTCATCTCTACAATAAATCAAAATATCAGCCGGGCGTGGTAGCGCGCGCCTATAATTCCGGCTACTCGAAAGGCTGAGGCAGAAGGATCACCGGAGCCCACCAGGTCGAGGCTGCGGTGGCCGGGAGCGGCCACTGCACTCCAGTCTGGGTGACAGAATGAGACTCCAACTCAAAAAAAAAAAAAAAAAGAAAAGAAAAAGAATACTACAGTTTCTTCTGAAAACTAAAAGAATCACTAAAAAGTCCAGTTTTTTGGGGGGAGGGGGTCAGAGTCTCATTTGGTTCCCCGGGCTGGAGTGCATTAGCACACTTATGGCCACTGTAGCCTTGACCTGCTAGGCTCAGGCAGTCCTTTGCCTCAGGCTTCCAAGTAGCTGGAACTACAGGTGTGCATCCGCACACCTGGCCAATTTATTTTTTAATATATTGTAGCGATGAGGTCTCACCATGTTGCCCAGGCTGGTCTTGAACCCCTGGGCTCAGGTAATCCTCTCACTTCGGCCTCCCAAAGTGTTGAGATTACAGTGTGAGCCACTGTACCTGACCCACCTTGGATTTACATTCCTGAAATTATGATAATCATAAACTAGAATATTTTCTTGGGTTCAAAATACTAGTCTGGGAATTCAACTTGGTTCCAGGAGTATGAGAACTATAGTGTAAAAGGAGAAGAAATCAAGGCTATAAACTTTGCCCTGTACCAGGAGTGAGTCTTGAATTCTCCCAGAATCTGCCTGTCTCACTGGCATAGGTGAGAGTTTCATTTAGGAGAACTGATGGGAACTGGCCTTTGAAAATGTTTAGTGGAGTTCTTTACCATGTTAGATAATCCCATGCATCTTGCAGGTCCTACTATAACTAGGTAGGTTTGGAGAGGAGTTGGTATAGGAAGTTAGCAGCTCATTCTCTTCAGGTAGTTATTATCTGGAATGTGATTTCTTCCTTATACTTTCAGGTTTTAGGCTACACTTTTCACATTGGACTGTCCATTTTGGGGGGGACATTAAGAGTTCTAATTAAAGCCGGGCTCGGTGGCTCAGCCTGTAATCCCGCGCCTTTGGGAAGCTGAGGTGAGTGGATTACCTGAGCCTGCGGGTTCGAGACCCACCTGAGCAGCGAGACTTCATCTCTACAATAAATCAAAAAATCAGCCAGGCGTGGTAGCGCATGCCTGTAATTCCGGCAACTTGGAAGGCTGAGGCAGAAGGATCGCCAGAGCCCAGCAGGCGAGGCTGTGGTGGCCGGAAGCGGCCACTGCACTCCAGTCTGAGCGACCAAGTGAGACTCCAACTCAAAAAAAAAAAAAAAAAAGTTCTAATTAACAGGATATTTGTGAATATAATGTGTACTTATTCTTGGCTATTTAAGAGAGAAAACTATGTGAGGGGTGTGTGTATGTGAGTATGTAGAATACACACATACACATATAGATAAATAAATATAGGATAGAATGCAAAACTTATAGGAATATTTACGATAATTATGAAATATATTGACTAGCCTCCTGTGACTGAGGTCTTCATTCTCTAAAAATACGGATTTACTAGAAACTCTGGTTCCCAGTGATAAATGGAGTAGGATATTCTTTTTTTTTGAGTTGAATTCTCACTCTATTGCCCAGCTTGGAGTGCAGTGGCTCACTCACGGCCACCCCAGGGTTCACCTGTTAGGCTCTGGCGCTCCTTCTGCCTCAAACTTCCAAGTAGCTGGAATTACAGGCGCATGCTACCATGGCCAGCTAATTTTGATTTATTGTGGAGACAAGGTCTTGCCAAGTTGTCCGGGCTGGTCTCAGACCTGTGGGTTCAGGCAATCCACTTGGCCTCCCAAAGTGTTGGGATTACAGGCTGAGCCACTGAGCTCGGCCAGGAGTAGAATATTCTAAGTGGAATAAACTGAACTTCAGAAAAGTGTTTAAGTTTACTTCAAAGCAGTCCTCATTATGTCATTTCCCTGAAAATTTCTCAATATACCTTTCGTTTCTCTTCTCCTCAGTGCTTTGTGGCTTTGTATGTCTTTTTTCTGATTGATACCCCCCTTAAACTCCACTTTCCAATGATTCTCCTCACTTAGATAATTTTTTTAGCATAAATTAATTTTGATTCACTTTTCAAATTCGTTTGTTGGTAATATTTGCTTATGACTGGTTTTTCATTTGCTTTTTGTCTGCTTAGCATTGATCTGGTAGCCTTGCTCCAGAAGCCTGTTCTTTCCAGTCAAGCCTCAGAAGTCAACTCCTTTGAAACTTCCCAACAGCAGGGATTTGGCCAAGCCCTTGTCTTCACAAATTCACAACACAACAATCAGATGGCACCAGGGACTGGCAGCTCCACTGCTGTCAACTCCTATTCTCCTCAGAGTCTGGTAACTTAATTTTATTTCACTATGGGATTTTAAGGAATTTACCCTTTAGCAAATGTATTATAGAATATGACACATATCTTACAGTTACTTTCTAAACATAAATTTTTCTATAGTAGATCTCAGTCCAGAAAACAATGATGTGATAATTTCCAAGCACATATCTGATGATTCCATGTGAAATTTAACAACTCTGAGTTTCCTGGACAAAGATAAAAATATATATATTTTAAGATTAACTACATTCTTTTCAACTAATGATCACTCCATCAGATTGAATGTATACCCCCATTTTTTTTTTTTTTGAGTCAGAGTCTCACTCTGTTGCCCAGGCTGGAGTGCAGTGGCACACTCAGCCACCACAGCCTCAACCTCCTGACTGGGCTCAGGAGATCCTTCCACCTCAGCCTTCCAAGTAGCTGGAACTACAGGCACGCGCCACCATGCCCAACTAATTTTTTGATTTATTGTAGAGATGACGTCTCACCAAGTTGCTTGGACTGTTCTCGAACCCATGGGTTCAGGCACTCCTCTCACCTTGGCCTCCCAAGTGCTGGGATTATAGGCATGAGCCACTGCACCCAGCAATGTGCTTTCACTTAAAGAGTGTGTCATGCAGTGCTGCATGTAAGACTGTGACTTCTGTGTTTCGTCTGAAATTTGTTGTTGAGAAACAGAATTTTCTCCCCTGAGTCAAATCATTTGTTGTATCCTGACAAAATTGAGAATTGAATATACAGACTTTACTCTCTTCTAGTCTTCTAGCCATATCATCTGATAGGTCTGGGGATTTGATGTTTTATTATCATTTGTATATAATAGTGTCAGTGCCTTAAGTGGGACAGTCCAAGGCATGATGCCATTTCTGTTTTGAGAAGGCCTAATAAAAGCCATGATTTTTGATTGAACCATTGATGTCTTTTCCTCCTCTGCCTTTCTCTCTGCTACTTGTATAATGATGTAATATCAGTGTCCTTGCTAATATGCTGGAATCTTTGGCTACTGAGTTCATCAGTAAGGTTTGAGTTTCTTTTTTTTTTTTTTGAGTTGGAGTCTC